CCTGCTGAGCAGGGAGCTCAATGTGGGGCTCGATCCCAGGGCCCTGAGATCATGACCTGAGCTGAAGGCAGACACTTAACCCACTGAGCCACCCAGGTGCCCCAAGATTAGACAGTTTTTAAAGATACATTTAAATAAGACCCTGACCCTACACCTTAACTTTTATTTTATTTATTTATTCATGTTTACTATTTAATTTATTAATTCATTTATTAATTTAATTTTTCACCCACTCATTTTGTAGCCTGTTTGCTGGTATAGGAAGGTATAGGAAACTTGACTTTCATAGTCAGACCTTCAATTAATTCCACATTTTCAGACATCTTCTTAAATTACATTGTACCTGTTGCCCAAGCCAAGAGGTTCCATGTGGTTGTACTCAGCATGCTGGCTTTCTGTTTTTTGGGTTTTCTCATTAATATTTCATCTGATTTTTGTTTTATAGGAATTTGTTGAGTTTTCTTGTATGTTAACAGCCTTCTTCCTGTTTTCTTTGGTATTGTGAATTTAAGCCTTAAAATTCCATTACTATTGCTTTTTTTTCGCAACGGGTTTGCCGCCAGAACACAGGTGTCGTGAAAACCACCGCTCAACCTAAACCAAAATGGGAAAGGAAAAGACTCACATCAACATCGTCGTCATTGGACACGTAGATTCGGGCAAGTCTACCACTACTGGTCATCTGATCGACAAATGTGGTGGGATCGACAAAAGAACTATCGAAAACTTTGAGAAGGAGGCTGCTGAGATGGGAAAGGGCTCCTTCAAGCATGCCTGGGTCTTGGATAAACTGAAAGCTGAACGTGAACGTGGTATCACCATTGATATCTCCCTGTGGAAATTCGAGACCAGCAAGTATTACGTGACCATCATTGATGCCCCAGGACACAGAGACTTTATCAAGAACATGATTACAGGCACATCTCAGGCTGACTGTGCTGCCCTGATTGTGGCTGCTGGTGTTGGTGAATTTGAAGCCGGTATCTCCAAGAATGGGCAGACCCGTGAGCATGCCCTTCTGGCTTACACACTGGGTGTAAAACAACTAATTGTTGGTGTTAACAAGATGGATTCCACCGAGCCACCCTACAGCCAGAAGAGATACGAGGAAATCATTAAGGAAGTCAGCACCTACATTAAGAAAATTGGCTACAACCCCGACACAGTAGCATTTCTGCCAATTTCTGGTTGGAACGGTGACAACATGCTGGAGCCAAGTGCTAACATGCCTTGGTTCAAGGGATGGAAAGTCACCCGTAAAGATGGGAATGCCAGTGGAACCACACTGCTTGAAGCTCTGGATTGCATTCTGCCACCAAGTCGTCCAACTGACAAGCCCTTGCGTCTGCCTCTCCAGGACGTCTACAAAATTGGTGGTATTGGTACTGTCCCTGTGGGCTGAGTCGAGACTGGTGTTCTTAAACGTGGGATGGTGGTCACCTTTGCTCCAGTCAATGTTACAACTGAAGTAAAGTCTGTTGAAATGCACCATGAAGCTTTGAGTGAGGCTCTTCCTGGGGACAATGTGGGCTTCAATGTCGAGAACGTATCTGTCAAAGATGTTCGTCGTGGCAATGTGGCTGGTGACAGCAAAAATGACCCACCAATGGAAGCAGCTGGCTTCACGGCTCAGGTGATTATCCTGAACCATCCAGGCCAAATCAGTGCTGGATATGCACCTGTGCTGGATTGTCACACGGCTCACATTGCTTGCAAGTTTGCTGAGCTGAAGGAGAAAATAGATCGTCGATCTGATAAAAAGCTGGAAGATGGTCCCAAGTTCTTGAAATCTGGTGATGCTGCCATTGTTGATATGGTTCCTGGCAAGCCTATGTGTGTTGAGAGCTTCTCTGACTATCCTCCTCTGGGCCGTTTTGCTGTTCGTGACAGGAGACAGACGGTTGCTGTGGGTGTCGTCAAAGCAGTGGACAAGAAGGCAGCTGGAGCTGGCAAGGTCACCAAGTCTGCCCAGAAAGCTCAGAAGGCTAAATGAATATTATCCCCAATACCTGACACCCCAGTCTTAATCAGTGGTGGAAGAATGATCTCAGAACTGTTTGTGTCAATTGGCCATTTAAGTTTAATAATAAAAGACTGGTTAATGATGACAATGCATCGTAAAACCTTCAGAAGGAAAGGAGAATGTTTTGTGGACCATGTTTTTGTGTGTGTGTGTGTGTGACAGTTTTAAGTTATTAGTTTTTAAAATCAGTACTTTTTAATGGAAACAACTTAACCAAAAATCTGTCACAGAATTTTGAGACCCATTAAAACAAAAGTTTAATGAGAAAAAAAAATTCCATTACTATTATCTTAATTATTTCTTAGAAAGGGAAGGATATAAATACATGTGCTTAGTTAGCATACCATATTAAACCTGAAGTCTCTACATCCTTCTTTTTAAAGCTGCATAGTGTTCAACTGTCTGGATTTTTAAAATATATATTAACTTGTCTTCTACTGATTAACAATTTTGTGATTCCAAACACTTCTGCAATGAATATTTCTGGACGTATCTCTATGCATTATGTATGTCTGTAGAATAAATTCCTAGAGGTAGTGTGTTGAATTGAAGGCTGTTGGAAAGTTCCTCTTTGGAACATGTGTGTATTTTTGGAAAGTGATATTGTATAGTGATTAAATGCAGGAACTCTGGGGCCAGGCTGCCTGGGCTCATAATCCTGGCTCTCTTAGCAATGCTGTGACCTTGGGCAAGTTACTTAAGTTTCTGTGTCTTGTTTTTCTAATGAGTAAAAAATGAGAATTAATAATATCACCTTTCTCCTAGGGTTGTAAGGATTAAATGAGTTAATTTGTTGAGACTCATGACTGATAATAAACACTCAGTAACCATTATCTGTTACTCTTGTTATTTTAGCTAAGACTTAGTTACCACTAGCTAAAAAAGAAGCCACTGTTCTGCATGGGCTGGAGCTGGCACTCTAGCCAGAGTTCCTGGGGTGCCCCTTACGGAGGTGAGGTGGTCCCCGTGGAAGGGCTGCAAGCTCAGGGCCAAGAAGAGAGATACAACAGGTCTGGGGAGGGCTCAGAGGTTTTTTTGCCCAGGAGTCTACCAACTGTAGCCACTTGAAAGGTGCATTGTTAACTGCTGTCTCCCCTAGTGCTTGGCATATAGTTGAGTGAATAAATGAATGAGTGAATGAAACCAAGTTTAAGAATTATTTTTACTTCTCTTTAATTCCTTCCTGCCATCTGCAAGCCATCTTTGCTTTACTGTAAACATGCTTGGTAGGGAGGGGACCAAGAAGGAGCCACGTGAGGGAAGCATCTTGGAGTCACCCTGCCTGAGGGGATCACAGCAGAAGAGAGACAAAACACGGTTCCTAGGCCTCCTCAGGAACACTTGGTTGGGGAGCCTGCTAAAAGCCTGTACTTCCTGCTATTTTAGGGAAGGGGATTTACACTGCTTATCCTTGGGTATTAAAGGGAGAGTGATCCTTCAAGACCAGGAAGTCTGGTATACCTGGGTTACCACAGGGCTCACTACATGGTAACCTCTGAGTAATGGCAGCTTTTTATATTTTATTTCCAAATTTTGGTAAACACTAAAATAAAGTTTGCATTTGATGCTGTATCCACCTTCCTCAAGCCGTATCTGCCTTGGTGTATGATGGCCACGACTGCCCATTCAAAGCAATGTTCCCAGTACAGCTGTCATGTCAATAAGGTGATTGTCAGGTTGAGTGAGACTCAGAGATCAGATAGGCGGGAGTGATCTTGGACTTTCCACTAGCCCTTCTCAACAGCATAACCTTGTGTTAGTCTCTTGTAATTTCAAAGAATTGTCTCCTGTCTCTGTAAAATAGGGGATTAGTGCTGTGATATCTACCACCTGTTTGGGCTTAAGAGCACATCTTGACATTAAATTAAGAGAGAGAAAAATGAATAAATTAGAATGTGTAATATACCCTGAAATCTTGATCTGAAAGTCACTATTAATGGTAAAACCATTACAGTATTATCTTTCTCCAGTATTTCCAGCAGATGCTTGGCTAAGGAAAAATCTCAATTTTGAGTATATTCTTATAATTGATTATTTTTTTCACCGTTCACATATTGATGTGTTGCAAAAGAGAAGATCCATATTCAAAAGGGGGTTATTTTCCAAAATTAAGTAATATACACAGTAAATGAGTAGCACACATTCACACATACATACTTATGTTAATTGTTCATTTTAGCTAATTATTTTTTTTGTTTCGGTGTTTTTGAAAATTAATCATGGACTTAGCATGGGTAGTGAAAAATCAAATTAACAAAGACTCATTTATAATTTCCAGAAGGAGGAACATGGATCCTGAAGCCAGGAAGCTTGTTTGAGGAATATTCAGGAAAGATCCAGAAAAGTCCCTGCAACATCAAACCCAAACATGGATCTCTCCAGACAAAAGATTCAGATCTACGTCCTATTTTAATAATGAAACAGCTGCCAGGGTTGAGGACCCTCTAGGGGTCCTCGTTCATGATGGATAACTGGGTGGTGTTTGTTTTGTTTGGGGGAATAAATATTTGAAGGGGGTAACTGAAGAAGGTTATGCTGCTGTTATGATGTTATTGATACACAGGCTGATGCTATTATGGCGGATGCTATCAGGCTACATTATCTTTATGCCTTCAAGGTAACCTGAAGCAACTGTCTTTGGACTTGGCACTACCTTACGCTGAAGCGTCTGCCCTGCCTGGGGACTGTAACCCAAGCCAACACATGCCTCACAGACAGCTTTCTTTAGCCACTGACAGCATCAAGGAAGGAAGAGTGTGAAATCATCCCGGGACAGACGCTTCCCAAAGGGGAGTTGGCTGCTAAGTGTCTCCAAGGGACGGTAGCATTGCTATCTCCTAATCTTCTATTTAGGGGTAACCACTAGAAAGCCCTTCTCTTTAGGCAAGGAAATAGTTACTATAAGGAAACTGGAGGTGATCTGAACCCCTGGGAACGTTTCCCCTGCTTTGAACTTTGCAATGTTTCACTGCAGGTCATGTCCACATGGAAAGCAAGGCTCACCAAAAGACTGAAATCTCCATCTAGAAGGATGCATCCTTTTCCATGCTCAGCTCTGCTTGCTTGTTTTGGGAATACAAGGGAGAATGCGCCCTTTGATCAGCCCAGCGCAGCTGATACTCATTCCACCATCTATGTTCAGCCCATGGCCAAAGCAGGGAGGCACTCAAGTCACTCGAAAGGGGAAGAAGGAACTTCAGAGAAAAGGCGAGATTCTGACAACCGCTTAGAGAAAAATGGCAGTGCAAATCTGAATTCAAGTAACCACACTGCCAACGAGCCTGCTGAGACCCCTGAGGATTCATCTGGGTCACTAGAAGGTAAATCGGACTGTGAAGCAGTTACTTTCCAGACTTCTATCCCCAGACCATCAATTATTGAAATGCCAATGGTGAGTTTTCCCAGTGCCGTTATGGAAGGATTGGTGTTGGAGGAGAGTTCTGATCATTTGGTGGATGCCTTCAGGAAACAAACTTGTTTACTATTTTTAGTGAATAAGACATTGAGGGGAACTCTTACTAGTGAGAGGAAGTGTGTAAAGCCTTTTAAATTCTTATAAGCTTCTCAGAGGATATAGAGGGAGGCAATGAGAATAAGCACTCGGGCCTTAGCAATGGCCAAAACTGGCCTTTCATTAACTGCCCATGGTTCTCTGGAGCCAACAGTGTCTGAATAAAAGACTAAGGGTAAGGTAGTCTGGGAAAGTTTTTTCTTTTTTTAAACTGGTACATGAATTTATTTATATGAAAATCCACAATATAAAAGATTTGATTATAGAATTAAGAAACTGCCCCTACTTAAAATGAATCATGTGGTATCAAAGCAGGTTTGGGAAAATTTGGAAATGATGATCATTGTATGCATAGCAGTAAAGAAAGGAACTGACCTGTAAAACTATTCATAATATGGGTGTTCCTGTGACCGTTTCTCAACTTAGATGCAGGAGAGGGAAGTTATTTCAAAAAAAATCTTGCTGCTCTCCAAAGGCATCATCTTGAGTTATTTATTTAATCTGTCTTCTTGTTGGAAGCATTACTGAATTTTAATTGTTAACTATTCTGATTAGATTGGGCTACACAGTCATGTCAAAGTTCTTTGCAATCTCAAGAGGCAGGGTTTCTTGAAGGTGTTTTCCAGAGATACCTCTAGAGCATTTTTCAGTCATATTCCTGACCAAGTAGCTTAGGACCAGACTTAAAAAACTGAGAAGTCTTTGGGGATCCATTACTAAGATACTCTGATTTTCAAAAATCACTGTTTTCCATCTAGTTTAACAAATCATATTTTGTCTGACTTCAGGAGGCCTTATTAACATTGGAAACTATTAAACAGTGAAGATAGGGATTACACATGTTTTTAAAAATAATTTCATTTGATATTCTACAGGCTTATCTTAAATTACTGCATCTTAGCTCTGTTGTCTACATCTTTCTATTCTGAGATTGGATAAAGGATTTCACTAAGCCCTCTGTTACAGCAAGAACTGTAATGGTTTGTTTTTTTCCCCTTAGCATCACTAAATCAAAACCCAATCAAACAAACAAAAGCAAAAACATGTATTGTTCAATTTTCAGTTTAAATCCATATCCAGATTAAGATATTTTTAGTAGTACTGTAGTTAGCTGAGTGGACATCATGGCCAAGTTTTTATTTGTTGCATGTTAAAGGAACCAATGATGTATTGGTTTTATGAGCTGGAAGATTCTGTTGGGTAGAGATTCCAACCACCTAGGACCCACCCTATACCCTATATTGCTAAATACAGCAGCAAATACAAAGCGTTGATTTGACTTTATCTTCCTGTTTTAGTGGCATATATGACACAAAGGCTCAAAGTAAATATGTGTATTCAAATATAACCAGTTAAACACAGTGGGTAACATCCATATTTATTGTCCACTTGTATGAGCAAAGTCATGGATAGACTACAGTGGTGAGGCCTTATGATGGAATCGACCCCAATGCAAGATTAAATATAAGTGTCCCAAAGAAGACACACATAAGCCAGTTCAAAGGAGGTTGGAAAGGTACACTATAGTGGAGGTGGAATTTGAGATTGGTTTAGAAGGAGGGTTAGGATTTTAAAAGGCAGAGATAAAGGGGAGGACATTGCAATAAAAGAAAATTGTATGAACAAAACCGTGGATGTGAGGGAATGTAGCATAGGGATAGGTACATCAGATTGGCTAAGTTGGACAGATACCTGTAAAGGTAGATGGAAGCCAAAAGTGGGATGTCTTGAACGCTGTCATCAGAAGTGGACTTAGTAGGCAGTGGGGAATCTGAGAATTTTGAGCAGAGAAAGGTCATGCTTAGGATTTCATAAACAGGTAAAGCTATGTAGGATGGATTAGAGTTGAGAAGACGGAGATGGGGTCATTGTAAAGATCCCGGCCTGAGGATAACATAAAAGGAACAGCAGGAAGGTGAGGTGGAAGGGCCAAAGAAGAATGGACCCCAAGCAGTAGCAAATGCAGTAGTTGTATGGGTCCCAGACTGGGTGGGGAGAGAAGAGAGACCAAACTGGGAGTGATGAAATGAAAACATTGCAACACTAAGGCCAGGCTGCGTGGGAAAAGTGTGTCCTGCGGGGCTGGTAAATGGGCATCTATTGTAGTTCAAATGTAAGGAGCTAATATTTACAGAGCACTTGCCATATGCCAGCCATTCTTCTAAGTGCTTTACAGGGAGCATCCCATGGACCCTCGTTACAGTGAGGAGCATATTCTTATTATTCTCTGACACTTGAGAAAGTAAGACACTTGCCTAAGGTCACAGGTGGAGGAAGTGGTAGAGCCAGGATTGAAACTCACCTCCTTATTGCTTGTGTGGTGTTTAGGGATTTACAATCAAATATTCACACATGATCTCACTTGATATGCAACCAAATTAAAATTTTGTGTGTGTATGTATTTATATGTAAATGTATCTGTGTATATAATCATCATAATTTGCTTATTAATTTGCTTAACCTTTTAAAAATCTTAGATTCATGATATATAACACTATGGAAAGGGACACTTTCCACTTTGCATCCTGTTGATGACAACACTTTGTTGATGACATGGTGGGATTGTTTTGAGATCTGATTAAAAGTGCCATGGGACTGCCCAAATTTTTCATTACCTAGTAATTTTTGTAGTGACATGTTTCCCCTCAGCAGATGATGAATGAGCTTCTTTTATTATAATCTTGCCTGGAGGCAACAGTATTTCCCCTTTAATTCACTGATCCTCATCATTTAAACTGCCTTTGTGGAGACAACAAATAATACTCTTTTTTAGAGCTCAGCTTCAGAATATAACAATAGCTAAGAAATGGGGACAAGTCCTTCTACCTATTTTTAGTTACCTGGTGTTCAGACAAGAGGGTGATTCTTTAAAATCTGAAACAACATCTGGTCTGAGAGAAAAAGCTCAAGATAGGCCAAGTAAACTAATTAAAAAAGGGTATTGTTTGTATAAATGTATATGCATATATCTGTATTTATGAACTGATGCCAATTAGTCTTCCACCTTTTTGCGGCCATCTTTTCCCTGTTCCAGGCCTGAAATCAAGGTGATAATAACCCTAACATTGGAATGTCTTAAAACTTCTGGTCTTACCCAGGCGCCCCATTCCTGGGTATTTTTAACTAAAAGTTAGTTTTATAATAAGGAAATATCTTCTCCCATTCTGTCGGTTGTCTTTTGGTTTTGTTGACCGTTTCTTTTGCCGTGCAAAAGCTTTTTATCTTGATGAAGTCCCAATAGTTCATTTTTGCCCTTGCCTCCCTCGCCTTTGGTGATGTGTCTAGGAAGAAGTTGCTGCGGCTAAGGTCGAAGAGGTTGCTGCCTGTGTTCTCCTTTAAGATTTTGATGGACTCCTGTCTCACATTTAGGTCTTTCAACCATTTGGAGTCTATTTTTGTGTGTGGTGTAAGGAAATGGTCCAGTTTCATCTTCTGCATGCGGCTGTCCAGTTTTCCCAACACCATTTGTTGAAGAGACTGTCCTTTTTCCACTGGACATTCTTTCCTGCTTTGTCGAAGATTAGTTGACCATGGAGCTGAGGGTCCATTTCTGGGCTCTCTATTCTATTCCATTGATCTACGTGTCTTTTTTTGTGCCAGTACCATACCGTCTTGATGATGACAGCTTTGTAATAGAGCTGGAAGTCTGGTGTCCCCAGCTTTGCTTTTCTTTTGCAACATTCCTCTGGCTATTCAGGGTCTTTTCTGGTTCCATACACATTTTAGGATTATTTGTTCCATTTCTTTGAAAAAAGTAGATGGTATTTTGATAGGGATTGCATTGAATGTGTAGATTCCTCTAGGTAGCATTGACATCTTCACAATATTTGTTCTTCAGATCCGTGAGCATGGAACGTTTTTCCATTTCTTTGTGTCTTCCTCAATTTCTTTCATGAGTATTTTATAGTTTTCTGAGTACAGATTCTTTGCCTCTTTGGTTAGATTTATTCCTAGGTATCTTATGGTTTTGGGTGCCATTGTAAATGGGATCGACTCCTTAATTTCTCTTTCTTCTGTCTTGTTGTTGGTGTATAGGAATACTACTGATTTCTGTGCATTGATTTTATATCCTGCCACTTTACTGAATTCCTGTATGAGTTCTAGCAGTTTTGGAGTGGAGTCTTTTGGGTTTTCCACATAAAGTATCATATCATCTGCAAAGAGTGAGAATTTGGCTTCTTCTTTGCTGATTTGGATGCCTTTGATTTCTTTTTGTTGTCTGATTGCTGTGGCTAAGACTTCTAATACTATGTTGAATAGCAGTGGTGATAGTGGACATCCCTGCCGCATTCCTGACCTTAGGGGAAAAGCTCTCAGTTTTTCCCCATTGAGAATGATATTCACTGTGGGTTTTTCATAGATGGCTTTTATGATATTGAGGTATGTACCCTCTATCCCTATACTCTGAAGAGTTTTGATCAAGAAAGGATGCTGTTCTTTGTCAAATGCTTTTTCTTCAGCTATTGAGAGGATCATATGGTTCTTGTTCTTCCTTTTATTAATGTATTGTATCACAATGCTTGATTTGTGGATGTTGAACCAAACTTGCAGCCCAGGAATGAATCCCACTTGGTCATGGTGAATAATCCTTTTAATGTACTGTTGTGTCCTATTGGCTAGTATTTTGGTGAGAAGTTTTGCATCCATGTTCATCAGGGATATTGGTCTCTAATTCTCCTTTTTGATGGGGTCTTTGTCTGGTTTGGGGATCAAGGTAATGGTGGCCTCATAAAACGAGTTTGGAAGTTTTCCTTCCATTTCTATTTTTTGGAACACTTTCAGGAGAATAGGTATTAATTCTTCTTCAAATGTTTGGTAGAAGTCCCCTGGGAAGCCATCTGGCCCTAGGCTTTTGTTTGTTGGGAGGTTTTTGATGACTG